TGTATTCCTTAATAAAGCACTTTTAGAATTAGTTGTATTCCAATAGTATTTATAGTAACAAGTAGAAGCCATTATTATTAAAACATAGGCAATGGTTATTTAGCATTTAATTTGGGACCAAGGCAGAGCACAAATTATTTAAAAGATCTTAATTTAAAAATTATTAAAAACTGAAGTAATTCCTGAAATTTTAAAGAAACATTTCTGGGCCTGTAATGGTAGTATTAGTGGTGACTCATTTGGCTGTGACTCGGAAGGGCAGCAGTTGGAAACCATCAGCCACTTGCGAGGGGATGGGGGGGTGGGGTGGGGAGATGGGACTTTCTACTCCCACAAAGAGCTACAGTCTCAGAAACCCACAGGGCAGTCCCACCCTGTCGTACAGGGTCATTCTTAGTAGGCGTCCACTTGATGGCATTGAGCTTGGGGATTTTTTTTTTTGGACAGTGATTCATACAGCTGCAAAACCAGGTCCTATCAACTCGACTAATGGCAGCCATCTACGTCACAGTACAATTGTGCTGGGGGTGGGGTGGTGGTGGTGGTCAGTAGTTCGTTTTTTAAAAGGAGTTCATTAGGGCTTTCTTCCCAGGAGCCTGTAGGTGAAGTGAATCCTCCAGAATTTCAGTCAGAAGTAGAGTATGTCTGTAGTTCACACACTCAAGAACGTCATGATTACAAAAGAGGTGAAAGGAGTCTATATCCTGTAGTATTGCGTTAAGCAGCCTCGTGGCACAAGAATGAAGGGCTCAACTGTTCACTGAGAAGTCAGCAGTTTGAACCAACCAGGAGCAATGTCGAAGAAAGACCTGGCAAGGTTGTTATCGTAAAGAAAACTTGATGGACCACGGTGGTTTGGTCGCAGTGGGGTCATTGTGAGTTGAAATGAACTCACCGGCACCCACGATTGTCCTGACCGCATTGTGTGTGCCTCTGGTTTCATCAGCAGTGCCTTTCAAAGGGACTCTGGACTAGTCAAGGGCTTTGCTTCTATGAAATAAACAGGCGCACATATGACAAGGGTGGAAGCTTAAGGTGTCCTTGGGGCATGGGCTTATTCTCCGGCTCTCTAACTTCATGCTGCTTGTGAGTGTAGGAGGGTGAAACAAGTGTGTGGGGAGTGAAACAGTACACTGATTGCTAGTGCACTGGAAGGTGAAACAAGTGTGGGGGGTGCTGCATCCGCTCATTCTAAGATCTCAGAGAGGTGACCCAGCCCACCCATCATCTGCAAAAATCATCTACCTGACTGGCTCGCAAAGCTAGTATTTTTTAGTATACATTATTTATTTATTTTTCATTATATGTTGAGGTGTGGGATGGTTTGATCTGTAGCATTATGTTTGTAGTAGAAACACATTTACACCTCAGATGATACAATAGAATCTTTAAAAATAATTTGAGACTACTCTAAGCTCATAGTACAGAACTCATTGTGTGTTTCGGTCTTTCATGATCTATTATCATCATTCAGAGCTAGTGAAAAGTATTTGGCAATCTTTGCAGGCAGCAGCGGCTGCTCAAGCAGCTTTAATATCACAACACATTATTGCTTTTACTTCCCTTTCTCTTTCTCTCTTTTTTTATACTCTCTCTCCCTTCCTCCATGAAGCTGAGAGAAATATGTATAATTTGTCCCCTCTTTCCTGTAATGTATTCTAGAAGACCTCAGGAAAGGCAGATATTAGCAGTATTTCTTAGAATTAAACAGGATCCTCAAAAAATAAGAGCAATATAATTATATACATTAAATCTTACCTTTGGAAAATTACCTTTGTTTTGACATAGGAAAAGAAAATAAATAAGCAATTGAGTAAAATAGTGAATAAATAATAGATGTATTTGTTTTATCAATGTGTGT